AGGGGAAGAGTAGTTAGAGAGGCTGTCGCTGAACTAAGTACAATTGGAAAAAGGGTCTGAGTGGGGAGTGTGAGTCCCAGTTCTCAGTCTTCGCACACGGAAATTGGTGGTCAGAATGGGAGACAGTAAGAATTAATTTATCAGATTGTCATAGACAATTGAGAGGGGACCTGATAGACTGAATGGGCCAAATGGCCTAATTCTGTGTTGTATAGTATATGTAAATCTTTGTAAATTGATGATAGGTGAACTTTGATAGCCTATTGTTGGCGAGTCCAAAACTAGAGGCATTAACATATGATACCCAGTGGTAGATCTAAAGAGAGTTTAGGAGGTACTTCTAAAATAATGAAAGACAAATGCTTTCTGAGAATATTTAGCTTCATAGCACATTCTCTTGTATTTCTCAGTATGTTTTATCCCACTAATTTTGTGTCTTACTGATTATTTTTGGTCAGTCGGGTGTCTGACACATTTGGAAACCCATCACCATGCTTAAGAGTAACCAAACTGAGGCAAACGTGGGTTTGAGCCCTCACTACAACAACAACAACAACAACAAGATTCCATTTATAAAGCGCCTTTCACGTCAGGAGGACGTCCCAAGGCGCTGCACAGTTGGGTCATGACCCGAGCAGGGGGGAAATGGTCAGGGTGAGGGGAGGGGAGGGAACGAGGAGGGGGGAAATGGTCAGGGTGAGGGGAGGGATGGGAGAGAGCGAGAAGGGGGAAGAGAGTCGAGAGGGGAGCTGAAGGCTCGGTCAAAGAGAAAGGTTTTGAGACCGGCCTTGAAGGAGGAGAGGGAGGAAGCAAGGCGAAGGCACTGGGGGATAGAGTTCCAGAGCCTCGGGGCTGAGAGGCTGAAGGCCCGACCACCAATGGTAGGGCGATTGGGGCGGGGGACGTGGAGCAGACCGGAGCCGGAGGAACGGAGGGTATGGGCAGGTAGGTAGGGGGATAGTAGATGGATGACAAGTACCAGAAATTCCCTGTGAGCTTCTTTTACTAAAAGTGACTCATAATAATCCTATAATGATAAACCTTGGATTTGATACAGCACCTTATCACATCTTCAAGACACTCAAAGTTCTTCACAGAAAGTAAATTGACTATATTTTGTGGGCAAAATGCGGCAGCCAATTCCACACAGCCGCTTCCCACAAACAGCCATGAATTGAGTGACAAATTCTTCTTTTTTGAAAAATACTTGAAGGGATTATTACCCTTGGAAAAGCAATCCGCCAATTGACTAACAATCAGGTTCCTACTTGCTGCTAGGTAAACAGAGGCATGTGGAGTAAGGAAACTTGTCTAACATTTTGCCCTACTTAGGAATCAAACCCAGGTCCTTTCACTTGCGAAGCGAGTGCTTTAACCACTAATTGACAGGACTCATGATGAGATAAAGTTTCCTGCAAGAATGCCTTATCCGAGTAGTCACTACATATTTAAAGTGAGCAGCTAGTGTTGATAGAATGATCATTGCAGCCAGGCCCAGGCTTTCATCAGTCACTATCACCAAATGTACACAGGGACTTTACAGGATAACAAGCATCTGTGGCCTTGATGTATTAACACAATCACCAAAGGTTACGACAAAACTTGAAACCTCACTGCTGTGTGAAACTCAGAAGTAGCTCCTATGGTATATGTGCATTGCATGGAATTTGACAACTTAGTTTAGCTGATAACATTCTTGCCTCTTCAGAAGATTGCATATTTGAGCCTCAAATCAGCACTTAATTTTATAATCTAGGCTGGCACTTCAATGTAGCCCTGGAAGATGTTGGTTAAATGTTGAACTTTAAATAATCCTTTGATTTGGTATAGCGCCTCATCACATTGTCATTTATATACATTTATAGTGTGAATTAGAGCGAAGCACAGCAGCCAATTTGAGCGCAGCCATGTCCCACAAACTGCTATGGAGTGAGTGACCAATTCTTTGTGTGGGATGTGTTGGCCAGGATACTGGGAGAAACCCCCTTCACTTTTCGAATAGTGCAATTGGATCTTTAACACCCAACTGAATAGGCAGCCAGGACCTCGATTTAATGTCTCATCCAAAGGACGGCACCTCCGGCAATCCAACACCCCCCCTGCACTGTATCGGAGTGTCAGCTTAGACTATGTGATTCCAAGTCCTGACGTGGGGCTTGAACCCACAACCTTCTGACTCAGAGGCGAGAGTGCTACCACTGCGTCAGAATGAGTCACATGAATGAGTCATGAAGGACAGCACCTGGAACAATCCAGCACCCCTTCAACATTGCATTGGGTTAAATTTAAACCCAATACATAATAATAGTCATTACAATAACTTATTGTAGGAAGTTCTTTATAACATTTCAATGCGATAAATCACTTGATCAAACATAAGAATTAATTTTATTATTATGTCTGCCCACTGAATAAACCAAGTACTGCGTGCGTTATTTCTGTACGTTTTAACAATCCCTTCTCTTTGCTCAGATACACTCATTAAAAAAAATATAGTTAAATTCTGCCATTATGCATTTTCCTGACAAATACATTTGCAAGCTCTGTTACTCTAACTCCAGATTTGCTCAGGCTAGACTGCAAATGCGTGCACCATTAGAAATTCATCAAAAGTGATTCGATTTAGGTCTAGAAAAGGTGCCATAAAAATGTTTGAGGACAAGCTATTGAAGAGACTACATTTTTTCAATGTGACATTCAAGGTTAAAATATCCATTGGGATGAACAAGTGTGTATAACCTACGGTTCATGCATTTCGATCTGGAATCAATAAGATGTTTGCGAAAAAGGAAGCAGACCGGCAATGAGTTACAGTATAATAGTTCAACTGAGCAATGCTGATGGCATCAAAAACATGACTGTTGGCAGTCTAAAATTGAATTTATGCATTATTCTCATAGCCAGATATTTCCATATTAATGTGCAAGAAATGGTTTATTTTTTAAATAAGATTTGTTTTCCTTTTTGCATGAAGTTGAGTGAAGGAGTCAATATTTATAGATTAAAAAATAGTGTCAACATACATAATATTTTGAGCAGAAAGGTTCAAGGTTTTTTGGTCTGTGCTGAATTTAGTTCCGCAGGCACAGTACAACAACTTGCATTTATATAGCACCCTTCACTCGGAGTAGCATCCTGGAGCGCTTCACAGTGGCGGAGTCAGACAATGAGCCATGGGGAGAGGAGGGTGAAGGTTACCATAAGTACGATCAAAAAGGAAGGTCTTTAGGTGGGAATTGGAGGTGGGGAGTGAGGGGCCAAGGCAGAGGGATTGAGGCAGAGAGTTCCAGAATTTTGGGGCATGGTGGTTGTGCCTTCAGCCACAGCCACCGATGGTGGAATGGGGAGGCGCAAGGGACAAATTGGATGCCGGAGCCAGCAGAACAGAGGCAGCGAATGATGGAGTGGGGGGTAAACAGGTCAGATAGGGAGGGAAGTGCGAGGGAATTAAGTGATTTGAAAAAGAGTGAGAGGAATGTGAAATCGATCCATTCAGTGACTGGGAGCCAGTGGAGCCTGGCAAGGATTGGTGTGATGGGGGTATGGAGTTTGGTACGGGTGAGTATCCTTGTGACAGAGTTTGGGATTAATTGAATTTTGGGTATGGTGGAACTGAGGAGACCAGCGAGGAGGGCATTGGAATATTCCAGTTGGGAAGTGACGAAGGCGTAGATGAGGGCTTCAGGGTGTATAATGGTAGTTATACGTATTATACCAGAAAGTGTTCCTTTACCCAGAGAGTAATCAACAACTGGAACTTGTTACCAGGAAAGATGCTTGAGGCCAGGACATGGGATTCATTTAAAAAGTAGCTGGATACTGTGATGGGAGATGGCAGAGTGGGTATTCTAGAAAGATGAGATCAAAGGGACAGAAGAGCCTTCTTCCTCCAAATTATTCTTGAGACCTTGTGTGTTAAGGAGGCAAAATCAACCAAGGGTTCCCATTTCTAGTTACTTTTGGCTGATGCCCTATTGGAAAACACTTGCGCATAAATGTTAGAAGATTAAGGATTTACTGTGATGTTCTTGGTCCCTCCCTCTAGCTCCTCTTCATTGGTCTTGTGGCTTCATGGCTTTCACTCTCTGAGTTCAAGTATAGATTCATTCATATGTCTCCAATTCATTTACACTGCCTTCCCTCTCATTTTCACCCACAAAATAAACACAGCCAATTCACTTTATAGTATATTCTGTCAAGTGCTTTGAGACATCTGGAAGACGTGATAAGGCACTATATCAAATGCAAGAATTATTATTATTAAAACTGGCCACAGGAGCTGAACAGAGCAGGGAGCTCAATTGTTTCCAAGTCAAAAAAATTAAAGATTTGGAAAGCTGAATCTTCTTCAGTTCTGAGCCACAGAACCATGAGCTTATGTATTGTTCTGTCTGATACCTTTTTATGCCTGCAAGTCAAAAGTGCTGTGAATAGAGTGCTGCTCATTGCACCAATTCAATGGAGCATCAATATGTTGATCAGCCTCCGAGTTACAGGCACTTTACTGGAAATGCAGAACTCCTGTATGATAACACCACAAGCGAACAGTAAATCGTTGTAAAATCGACCATTCTATTATTGGAGACAATGCTAGTACGGCTTTGGTACTGGTCGGTGTCAGTTTCTTTACAGCAAACACAGGTTCCTAGTTGTAAGTGTCTGTTGGTCAATGCAATGTAGAATGGAAGCTTTGTAACAATATTCATTGTGAATTACTCCAGAAATTCCACCTGGTCTTAGTCTGTAATCTTAATGTTATTTTAAATTTAAGATCATGCAATTAAATTCAGTCTTAATTTGGAAGCCAGGTCTTTTTTAAGAACTACACTAAAGCTGTTCGCAAATTAAGACTGAATTTAAAAAATTCCACAATTCTGCATGATCTTACATTTTATAACAAAATGGTCAGACAAAGTGTAATTTTGAATGCATAGAATCCAGTTCTACTATGTTTTCCAATATAGTGTATCATAAATATATTTTTCGTTTACTTTGTACAGACTGACAGGTATCTTTACAAAGTATGGAGTGGAATTGGGAGCCAGGGCGATGTGTGGAACAAGGCCTATGTACCACTGAAAAAGTTGCGGAATTTTGAAATTATATTCGAAGGAATTCGAACCCATGATTTTGGTGGTGGAGCAGCTATCGATGACATTCAGTTTACAAACTGTACCTCAGGTCTGTAGCAGAATTTCCCTCATGTCCAGTGATGTCTTTCTGCCCTCTAGACATGTTCACTCTTTTATTAATAATCTATACTTGTCAGGGCTTGAACATTCTCATGTTCTCAGGCTTGAGACAACAACATGTGTTCTTATCAAGATCATTGGAGTAAAATTTAAAATTGTGCAGATCTTGGAAGCTCACTCAAACCAATATTCTGCACCAATGCCCAAAACAATTTGCATTTATATAGTGCCCCTTACGCAGGGCCGTGTCCCAGAGCGCTTGTCAGTGGTGGAGCACGATTCTGAATTGGGGGGAGGGGGAAGTGACCGTAGACTAGAGTGCCCTTCAGTGATTGTGAAAAATTGACCTCTGAATTACAACTGTTCTCCCAGATTCCACACAATCTTAAATTTAAAGCAATTAATATACATAACTAAGAACGTGAGGAATTTCTGACTCCAGGTGGTTTTCTTTCCAAACATCTTTAAGTCCTCTTTAGAGATGACTCGCTAAGTTGAGATGCTTCCTTTCATTTTCTTGCTATAAGCACCACTGCAGTCCAAACCCCACAAATTCACAAGACTGGTTCACCTGAAGAATGTCCTTCGGCCCACTTAATCTCATTCTTCCCAGAGTACCCACCCTATTGTCTACCCGCACACACCAAGCTTTTATTAAAAATGAGTCCAGAGTCCTGACCTCAACCACTCATCCTAACATACAGTTCCAATTGGTAAACAACCTCTGGGTAAAGTAAGTAATTCCTGAAGTCTGTTCTGAAATAGCCCTTTGCCAACCTAAACTGTGATCTCTTGTTCTGCCATCTCACTGCATCTGACGGTTCAAGCTTCTCCAATGATCTAAGCCTCTACAATGCATTCTAAACTTTCCTATTATTTTACTCCTAGCTAGATGCTCCAAGAGGTACTTTCACCTCAGATTAGGCCACATTAGCAGGTTTGGACTCACAGGACATTACAGGTACTCTTAATGTAATTACTAACCAAAGCAACTGCAGTTTGTTTCCGGAGCAAAGACATTGTTACTGTATGTTAGGATGAGCAATAATATTTTACTATTACTACTTACATAGAGTTACATACAACAACAATTTGCATTTATATAGCAATGTTCACGCGGGGTAATCAGCTTAGCGGTGGCGGAGCTTCACACTGTACCAGGGAGAGAGGGGAGATGATTAACCATAGGCATGGTCAAAGATGAAAGGTCACTTACAATCTGAAAATAGCAAGGGGGGGGCAAGATGGAGGGAGTGAGGCAAGGAGATCCTGGGTTTCGGGGTTTAGTGGCTGAAAGCATGGCCACCACTGGTGGAGCGCAGGGGATGAGGAATGTGCAGAAGTCGGTTGAGCGAGGGGGGTGGATAGAGGAGTTGGGTAGAGGTAGGCAAGTACTAGGGCCTGAATTGATTTGCGAGTGAGTGTGAGGTTCTTGCAATTGATCCATTGTGCAACAGGGAGCCAGTGGAGCCTGGTAAAGACTGGGGTGATGGGGGGGTGGGTGCAGTTTGGTTTGGGTGAAGATACGGGCAGGGATATATATAATACATCACATGATATAGCACAGAAACAGACCATTCGTTCAAAATAATCTGTACTTGTGTTTATACTGCACACATGCTCTCATTCTTCCGGTTCACCCCTTGTACCCCTCTGTTCCCTACTTCTGTTGGGAAAAAGCCAGATCCTGCAAGATTTTATGATAAAAGGGCTGAACCCTGTTTTCGTGGTTTATGTGCAAATACAACACTTAGGAAAACCACAGGCACATTAATAATAAACTCTGATCAATTCCAACGGCACAGATCAATGCTGGGTTTCAGCTGTACCTGGTTCCTGACTGCTGAAACCTCCTACACTGTTCAGATGAAGACTTTTACAAGAGAACTACATAAAATAAAACTGGTCATTATTCAGCAGAAATAATTCTTCATGTAACCATGTATTGACTTAGTTTTGTGTCTGGGCATTAAAAGCTTTTGGCCAGCACACTCTATTCATGCATTATCTGAAGCTAATTGATACTGACCCTTTGCTGTTTAATAGACCGATGCTATTAACAGTGTCAGTTAACCATACTTAACTCGCATAGTCAACATTACTGCCAGTAGTGCAGGGCTACAGAGTATGTTTGTGGCTACCTTGCAGTTGTGAATGTTAACACCCCACAAGCTCCCAATCAAGTGGGTGACAGTTGTATTGTAAAGCCTCTGGAAAACAACAGAAGAAAAATTGAAAGATACTTCCTATCAGGCAAAAATCATGTTTCCTGTTATGTTGCTGTTTGCATTATAATATATAACCACTTCTAAAGGGATGAATGACATTTTGCATTAATTGAAGGAAGTGATGTTATTGCTTACAGTGGAACATTTTCTATTATTCATAACAGTATCAGCAATGACCACTACCTGCCCCATCAACAGTGTTCCAGCACCAAGATTACTCCATTTCAGAGAAGCAAACCCTTTTGCCCTGTATGTCAGGACTTGGAGTTCATATAGTCTATGATGGCACACCAACGTAGTGATGTGGGGTGTGCTGCATTGTTGGAGATGTCACCCTTCAGATGGGATGTTAAACCAAGGTCCCATCTGCCTGTTCAGGTGAATGTTGAAGTTCCCATGGCACTATTCGAAAAGAGATGGGAGTTTTCTCCCTGTGTCCCGGTCAACAATAATAAGGCACTATATTAAATACAATTATTCTTATTATAATTCACTTCATGGCTGTTTGGGTGACATTGCTGTGTGCAAATTGATGGCCATGTTCACTCACAGCCATTACATTTTACAACATATCCTGTGAAGCGCTTTGAGACAGCCACTTGACGTGAAAGGCATTATATCAAATGTAAGAATTATTATAATTGCCAGTGTGGTATTTTCTATTTCCCACATGATTGTAGCCATATTGGGGTAGTATTTGCCAGGTAACAGCACCACCTTAAAAGGTTGTATATAATGTCCTTCTGAGCTCAGAAAGTCCTTTGTATTCATGGGCGCTAATGTCAGCAAAATGCCTGGCAGTGGTGTACCTAATACAAATGTTGGCATTGGATACAGTCTTAACTGTTCCAGGCAGCAAAGTCTGAGCTTTTGGAAATGGTATAAAGCCTTTGATTTATATATATCAATCATGTCTAATACTATTAAGATCTACATTCCATCCCATCATATGCCCCACTGCTTCAAAATAGTTCTGACCTGGTCAGGTCCAGCCCAGCTGTCATTTCAACTCCATTTCCCAAAAACATTATTTTAAATTATTCATAGTGTTTATTCTGAATCATTACCAGTGAAGAATAGGAAATCTACAACTGTGTTTTCTTATTTTTGGCCTCCTGTAGATTCTAAAGAATCTGGAACGTTGAAGGTAGCTCCGATCATGTTATTCTGGCTCAAGGAGCCAGAATAAATTACTAACCCACTGTCGAAGTCAATGCATGACTTCAGATTACAGCACAAATCTGAATGATATACGTATCCAGGGGGAAAACCCAGAAGTTCCAAGGCTGAAATTGAAATAGATTTTCAATAATTTTCCTTGTTATATTTCACTGCTTGCAATTGGGAAATTTAGCACCAACAGAAGAACTGATGGATAGAAGGAACACAATGATTCATATCAGTTATGCTAATTCATTGTTTTTGTTCTAATCTTCACAAAGACGCAGATCAGGTTTTATCTGGTCTACAACTTGCTGATGTCTGACCTTGCACTTGCCCTGGTCCTGATAGTTAGAGTGAAAGTAATAAAATGTAGGGATGAAGGGTAGCAGTGGGCATGACTTGGAGAGGTTGGAGTGGTGGTGGACAGGGGAAATTAGATGACTTTGTAGCTGATATAGGTACTTGTGGGAGGAGACTTAGACACCTCCTCCCCAAAAGAAATAAAAGAAAACTCTGAATCTTACAAAGAGAGAATACAATAACAACATGACACTTACAATATGATTGATCAAGGTCAATCAATGTACTGAGATCCATCCGCAGTATTGTAAAGGTGTTGTCACTTGTTTCGATTTACAATAAAATGCTCTTTAGATTCATGATTTTGCCATGGGACAGTTTCACACTCATTGAATACATCCAGTAAATGGCTAATCTAATTCATGGCAATCACATCCAGGGCAGCCCCATTGGTGTAGTGGTTAGAGTTGCAGATTACCGACAGGAGCTTGCTGGTTCGAATCCTGATCTGCAGTGGCTTTGCTGGTTTTATCCAGGGCTGTATGAGGAGACAAAATTGGCCCTGTCCCTCCCAGCATTAGGGAAGGGGGAAATCAGCCAGGATTCCTGCTCCTGGTCACTCTACAGCACCTTATACTGGTGGGAAAAGGTCAGGTTCAGCTGTGCCATGCTTTATAGTCGAGTAGCCTGTCAACACACACACTGTCGAGGCTTACACATAAAAAGTGGCCACTTAGATGGGATACCAGTGGACAACCAGTGCACATAAAAGTACACCTCAGCAAGAATAGGCTAGATCAGGACCAAAGGTCAGCATGAAAAAAATTAGAAGAAAATTGAACACACTAAATTAAAAAACAAATTACATTCAAATCTTACCCCCATATTTCTCTATCAATGTAAATTAGCTTGAATCAAAGGACATTCATTAGCAGTGATGCCTTTTCTACATCAATTTTTTTCACTACATCCAATTATAGTGGGAATGCTATAATATGTTTGAATTTTTAGCAATCATCGTAAGGCAGATCCAATTGTATAGCATAGTTCATGTGTCTTGTTCAATTGTACACTTGCTACATTGATCCACGTTATAGTGTAACAACTAATACTTGGTCAAAATCTATTTTGAATGTCACCTGATCAAAAAGCTTTACACCATCCGCAAATTATAGAAGATTACAACAAATACCCTTCTCCAAGTTATGAATGGTTTTGATGCAGTGAATAGAAAGCGGCTATTTCCAGTCATCAGCAAGTCAGTAACAAAAGGCTGCTTGCTTTATTACAATAATTG